ACCGCTGGTTCGCCGGGCTATACGTGCGGCTGTCCCGGGGCTCAGACCTGGAACGGTAGCGCCTGTATAGAGCAACCGCCGACCGCTGGGCCGGACACCACTCAGTCAGCGGCGGGCAATCGGCCGGCGACCGCACCGTCTGTATCGTCGGCGGTCACGCCGTACCCGGTGTTAGACAACGACACAAAACTGGTGTTTGTTGTCTACAAAGAGGGTATTTATGTGAAGCAAAACACAGTGGAAGACATGAACACAAATTACATTGAGTCCGTGGATCTGTTGTCGGACACCGATTGGATCACTGAATTTGATTACGTGTACCACAAGAATGTCATGTTATGGCTGGAGAGCAGTGTGTTTGAGGGGCTGTCACTATACGGGGCGCCGATAGACCGGTCAAAGCCGTCGGCGTTTAACGCAACTCAGAAACTGTTGCGCCGGACGTATAACTCGAAGCGATTGTCCATCGATTGGATCCACGACTTGGCCTATATATCGGTGTCCAAAGGCGTGGAAGTGATCAGTATTGGCCCGGAAGGCAAGTATTACAGCTACGATCTGATCCGACACAATGAGATACAGGGAGACGTGTCGGTCGATCCCATACACGGACTGCTATTCTGGTCGCAGTGGGGCTACAATACGGTCACTACTAAACACTCGGGTAGTATAACGCGGGCCAATCAGGACGGCTCGGATCCCATAGTGCTGTCAACGGCAACCTTAATACCCAACACTATAGCCCTCGACATCGACGCACAGGTAGTCTATTGGATCGATACACACGTCTATACCCTGTATTCTGTGAGCTATACGGGACTCGACTTCAAGACAATACTTGTCTCGCGAAACCTATTCGAGGGCTCCTTCTCTATGGATCTGTTCGGTGATCACATCTATTGGTCTAACTATGAGAACAACGCTCTTCACGTCACCAATAAGAGGGGTCTGAACGGCACCGAGAAGTTGACACTCGTCAACGCCTACACCGATGTAGAGGGTGTCAAAGTGTTGGACAGTCGCCGGCAGATGAATGGCACGAACCGGTGCTCAAACTCCCGCTGCGCTCACATGTGTCTACCCGTACAGCGAGACTATCGGTGCGTTTGCTCTAAGAATCGGTTCCAATTCAGTGACGTCTGTAACGATGAAACAACGGTTAGTATAAGAGTTATCACGTGATTAGAGTCTGTGGTTATTATTAATTCACAGATAATTACTATTGTTTTATAACTTGTTTTATAACATACGTTAATAATAATGTACTTTAAGACAATCACTATTTGTTTTGTCCTATTTGTAGACAACTGCGAGACCAGTGATGACGAGCACAGAGATGGCCACTACGGCGACAACAACTCTGGAACCGATTGGCGCCACGGATGCCATCCATAGCCAACTGATTGACCATAATATCCATTACATGAAGAATATATCACATAAATTGGATTCATTGATAAATATCACACAATTGAGACCCGAGAGCGAAGGCCCACACAATGGCCACTGGATTGCCATCGCATTCATCTCAATGGCAGTAAATGTGATATTAATAGCGATATTTATTTACCGCAAAAAACAAATGTATGTAAAAATTGTATTATCATTACATTATGGTTGGGATTAAATGCGATAAAAGTATTATGGTTACTTAAAACTCACATTAAATCTATTCTGCATTAAATTGCATGTTTATTATCTCAAAAATTAATGGTAAAATGTGTGTCTAATTTACCTTTCAGTAAATTTCCGGACAATTTTTGGGCCAAATTCCGCAAAGATAGGGGCGATATACTGATGAACGACACGTCCAGCGTTAACGACGAGTTGTGAACATCACATCTCAATCATCACCACATTTAGTCCACACTCTCTGTAGGACTTATGTAATGACATTTAACTTAAATATATCTGTTTTAAGTATGTTTTATGAATGTTTTCTAATCTATTATTCATCCATATTATAATTGTAATGTAATTAAAAGTTTATAATTATTTAATGGCGTTGTTTTAATTAATTGCCACCAACACCACTTTTCAAATATGTTTAGCTATTAAGTACAGAACCAATGCTAAGCCACATAGACAGTAGCGCCAGTGGCGTTGCGGGCAATATGTCAACTAGGTCTCATAGAGTAACTTAATGACAATTAGAAACTTTTAACAAGATTAATCTAATGCTTAATTGGATTTAAATGTAAACCAATTGTGTTTATAAACAATATAATAGACTATAATTAGTTATTTAACTAAAAACAATGAGATAATTGTCAGACAATGAAGAGTTAGTCCGTAATTATTGAACCACTGATTAAGGCATCAGTTGTTACGCATAGACTTTCGCATTATTTTGTAATAAATCTATGAATAAATTAAAACAAAGCGATTATTAATTAAAAATCTTGTTATTAAACGACATATTTATATCACAAAATGAATTAATCGTAAAAAATATTTGTCAAATAAATGTTTAAATGTTATGTTAAATGAGAACAAAAATTAAATACAATGAAAGGAGAGAAAAGTAGTGACAAAAAACAAATGGCAATTAAACACACGTATGAACGGCTCAGCGCTAGAGCACCGGCACTGCGACCCACTCTCTCAGGCCATAGTCTTGCGGACGTATTCGGGAGAAGCGGCCGAATAGTCGCTGGTATTGAAAAACAGTATACAGTTATTAGACAAATACTTCAAGAAGTCGTGGACGTGTGTCAGCAACAGCTGTACGGCCTTCTCGTCGAGCGCCGTAAACGCCAAGAAGTGGCCAAACTTTGTGAACAGACGCAGCAAATGAATGGCGCCGTACACTGAGCTCAGGGGCCGGTCGGCGGGTTTGGTGGCCAACTGGTCCTGATATTGGCACCGCTCGAAGCGGTACAACAACTGCGAGCCCAACATAACGTTGAAGTACTCCCGTATGCCGTCCACCGCTTCCATCACTTGGCTCTCCTTCACGGGTGTCATCTTTGTGGCCATTTGTCGCTGTTTAGTATAGTCTTCTAGTATTGAGTCCACAGTGATCTTCGCCGGCAAATCAAACAGTTGTTCCTGTCTTGTGATCAGATCCCAGTCGTCCACTAAACACGGCTTCAGTTCGTCGGGTATTTTGATCCGTATTTCGGGCTTTGATGTGAACGCCTCTTCCGTCTCGACAAACGCCGGCACCGAATGGCGTCTCTTCTTACGGCCCGAAGCGGTTCCGGTGGCGGACGTCGATGGCGTGGCTGAGGCCGACGCCGAGCCCTCGCTTGTAGTGGTCGACGACTCGCCGTTTGACTGATCTTTGGCTGAAGAGAGAGAGAGAGAGAGAGAGAGAGCATTAAAATACATGTCTTGAGATACAACCAAACAATAAATACCATTATTTGCACCACTTTTGCCATTAGAGGCGCCAGACTTAGAGCGCTTACCGGCGCCGCCAGTAGTGGCCGTCTCCTGAGCCGTACCATTAGTGGCGGTGGTCTTGCGTTTGCGGGAAGACGACGAAGAGGTGGAAGCGGTTGGCGCTGAACCACTGGCGCCACCATTACCACCACCGCCGGCACCGTTGGCCGCGCCGTTACGCTGCGGCTTATGGACGGCCTTCAGCTCCTGCTGTACGCGTCGGTTGTCGTCATTCAACTTCAGGAGCCGACTCGTGTCCACCCATTCGTCCCAATTCTTGTTCCACCCGTTATAGTGGACGAAGTACTGGCGCTTCGGTTCCGGCCGACGCTTCAGACACTTGGCCTCATAGATGAGCGGCCCGTGAAAACAGAGCACCCGTTCGTCCACTTCGTACTCGTAGCCAATGGTGTCTTCGGTGGTGACAACGGGTGTCGGATCTGTTGTCTTGTTGTTGTCGTCAGTGTTGTTGTTGTCTTTGTGGCCATTGTTTGCGCCGGCGATCGGCGGCGCCTTTGGATCCGCCGCTGTCTTTGGCTTGGGATCAGTGGTGACCTCCGGAGCGTTGGCTGTGTTGGCAATGATAGTGTTGTCGTCGGCGGTGGCGGTGCTGTCAGTGGCCTCAGGACTGGTGGCACCGGTTCTCGTGGTTGTGATAGTTGTGGTGACAACGACTGTAGTGGTTGTGCCGCCGCCCGGACTCGTGTTCACCACCGCTGCGGTCGACGACTGTGTGGCCATCGGATCAGTTGTAGTGATAGTTCTGGTGGTGTTGTCTTCGGCGCTGAAACTGGAGTTGTATTTGAGGTTTGAATCAAACAAGCAATGAATGAATGACTGGTTTTGTGACTGAAATGAAAGCACAGATTGTTTTGAGTTGTGTTTAGAAAGTGTTTGAAAACAATAACAACTGTTTTGGCGAACAGTGAATGCGTTTCTATTGTAACCAATGGTAACGCGTATACACTGTGTGTGTGTTTTGGCGCACACTTTGAAAGTGTGTTCACTTTTAATTGCCATTACTTTTATGTGCGCTTTGAATGACATTTAGTTTTGAATTTAGTTTTGTTATTATTTATTTGAATTGTTTGTTAAAAATACTTGTATTTTATAAGTTTTACAACAAATTTAAACTATAAGTACATAGATATCAGTGATTTTATTTATAATTTTAGATTAATACAAAAAATATACACATTTGTATAAATTACTATTAAGAAAGTTAATAAAATTAAAACAAACATCTGGGTAGCAAAAATTATTTCTATATTACTATACCTAACTATTGATTAAAAAATAGATAATTAATTAAATATTTGAATAAATAATTAATGTGTCGATCACTTGGAGTCCAAATATGAACAGCACTTATGGCGTGAATAACAGTAACAATTCCGTTGACAACACCGGCAATGGATTGACTACAACACACCTGTGCCAACACCAATTGGTGAGCTTTTAGATCCCTATCCCTAACCATTTCATTGTCTCATTTTTATCACCCTTTATATTACAACTTATATATTGATTGTTTTTATACGCCATTAAAATGTAGATAAGTTTTGTACATTAAGTATAAGTTTTAATTAAGCAGTAAAATGATAATTTAATTGCAATTCCTATTCATTTTCTAATTCAGTATTTTTAAAGCTATCATATTTTCTAATACAATGGGTTCCAATTATAAACGATTCAAAACTAATTGTAACTATTATTTAAAAATAAACTTTTAATAACAAATCGATATTAAAAATTGAAAATAAATTGTAGTATCACTTTGTGTACAGAAAAAGTGTCGCTATTTGTGAGTCCTATCGGTGATGGCTTTAATGTGCAAAAGTGTAGCGTTTGTGGCGTTCGCTATATTTTACGACGAGATCATCGATACTGACGGCGAGAACGCAAAAATTGAGATCCAAATGAAACAAATCGTGTCCACAATTCATATGTATAACAATATTAACAATACTTCGCGCAAAGTATCCGATGGACACACTTTTGGGGACATTATTACCGATCAAAAGCCAATCACACAGTCTTTCAAACGGGGCATCACTTTCACTGACTATATGTCGGGTGAATTAAGTGACCGCCTCTTTAATGGCACCTGGATTTCAGGCAATGAACTACTTCATTACGACTCTCACAACAATTTATGCATTTTTAATGTATTGACGTTGACTACAGATATTATCATACCATTCAATACCATAGTTAGTATGCATTCACTCAATAATTACATTATGTTTAATTCACAGTTATTTACATTTACTTCTAAATAATAGAGTTTAATAAGTGATAAAATACTTTATCATTAGTAACGGATGGATAGACTTGTTTGCGGCGCCTGTAGTCACACCAGACGGCGAGTTATATTTTATAAACGTACCCAAAATGAGTGACAACGGGAGGGATGTGTTGCCACACATCGCCAAAGTGTCCGTTTCGGTGAGACATTCAATACTATTCTTGTAATGCAATACAAAATACAAACGTTTATAACTTAATAAAACATTTGTGTCAATCAAATAGTCGGCCGAATCAACATTTTTGAAGTGAAAGATATACTAAATTAAACGTAAACACAGAAAATGACAAAATGTAAGAAAACAAAATTCTCTATATCTCAATATCTAATAATAGGCATATATTATGTGAATATTTTACAGATATTTTAGGGCAACATTTCCTTCAAATCCGGTAGAAAAGCATTTAATGAGGGCTCCGTTAACCCAGTCGTCGGCGGCGGCGAAGACAGAGCCCGTGTGTCACACGTGTCTTATCAACACATATAACACCGATAGGGATAACACATATCTGGTCTCTGACGCCACGTGTAGCGAAGGGACCAAACATTATATCCATCACTGTTTGGGACCTAATATTCCCCAATCGGTGATCAGGCGGACAGTCGACGACCGCTTACTCTATACACTCGAAGACAATAAAAGCCTGAATAGTAAACTCAAAGACTCATCGGTTCCCAAAACTATTTTCATGAAGGTTCCGATCGGACGCTATCGTATGTATTGTTTATTTATGACTAAAACTAGTTATAATTAATTATATTTATTAAATACACAAATTAAGTTATGACACAGAGATGCTTTTTGTGCCGCAATATTTCGATAGCAAATAAAAACGAAAATATTTGAATTAGTTTTGCACGTTTACGGCGGACCCGAAGCTGACAGCGAATACGTTTCGCATAAATACTTTTACAATCAATTCGGCGCTTATTTGGTTAAAAAAAAGCGTAATCTATGCCCATCTGGACAGCAGAGGTGCCCCCAATCGGGGCCAGGAATTCATGTTTGAAATTTATCGCCGATTGGGAAAAAGAGAAATTCCCTGTTGTCTGTAGAGGGAAGGGAAGGGATTCCCTCTTTGCATAGTTTAAGGGAAAAGGGAAGGGAATTGAAAAATAGGAAAAGTGGCAAGTCTATTGTGGAGGGTGATTCGCTATGGAGGAGTTGCACTGTATGTTATTCTTACCATTTCCGTCACAAACAACACTTACGTAATAATCAAATAATATATAATTACACAAACTTTCAAAATTAACAACGACTATCATAAGGTCTACTGTACACAGTTTGGTCCCAAATTAAACACCTGGACTGTCACTCACTAATTATTAGCTTTAAAAAATAAATGTATCAAATTTTTAATTAAAACTTAATTGTAATTAATAAAAAGTGAAATTATTGGCACTGTATGATTTGGTTTAACCCATAGCGCGTGGACAACATTTATTTGTTAACTGAATTAATATTATCCTTATTTTAAATGTTTTTTTAAATGCAATATTATCATTACTGCTCTGTGACATGCAGTATTAAATTGAATTTTACAACGTTTTGTGTAATTTATTTGTTTTAAATTGCATATAAATTTTGAATTAAATAAAATTCTATATAAATGTATAACTCATTAACTAATACCTTACGGGGTTTTATGTCAAAACTTTGTTACTCACCAGATAAGGGTTGATCTATCATATTTCACAAGTATGACTGTTAGGGTGACCAAATAATTTAGATCTAAAATAGGACTATTTGTCAAATTGAAATATTAAAAAGAAACAACAAATTGCTTATTAGGTTTTTCCATATTATTGTAAAATAAGCCTTTTTCATAAATCGTTAAAACAATAATAGGAATGGAATTTGCTCATCAGTATCTCAAAATAACAATAATTTCAAAAAGGACGTGTGGTCACTCTAATCACTGTATTGCATAATTCAGTAGTTTAATACTAAATACTAAAGCAAACACAGCGCCCCCATGAGATGGGTATATAAATTCCACTTATATAAATTTATTTTTAACTCATTTGCTGACAAGTTTCAAGTCTAGTAAAAAGTTCTATACATTCCAGTTCAACATGAAAATGAACATTATGGCAGTGGCGCTTGGACTGATTGTGGTAATATTAGTCACCGATGGATTGGTCATGGGACAAGCGAGATGTTCTGCAAAATGTAAACCAGGTTATTTCTGTATACCTATGACGCACGAGCATAATAGACCATATTGTAAACACGTTTGGAATGGACAATACACCGGCACTGGGGGCAACGCTGGCTACTACCCTTGAAAGTAACACAATGCATTGTCTACATTTTAATTTATTAAATAACTAAATATGTAATGAAGTTATAGGTTGTTAATGTTGTTGTTACATATAAATAATTGTTTTTTATAAATTAAATTGTATTTTGTTAAAGATATACTTGAATAAATTGCAATGTAAATTGTTTAATAATTAACCCGTGTAATTATTTATTACTAAATTTTTTATTTAAACTAAAGCTAATACTTAATTTTAAGTTAAAGTTTTTTTTTAATTTTAAATTTTTCGTTACATTTTCATTAAATTTTTAATAAACATATGTTTATATAAATATCACTAATTATTTGCATCGAGACGGTTATTAATGTCTAAATAATATTTGCTATTACAAATTTGTTTTTACAAATAAAGGAGTTTTTAAAAGGGGTTTAAGAAAGTAAGATATAACTTTATTTTTTTTAATTTGATGAATACAAACTATTAGGTAGTTATAGGTTCGGAACAATGTATAAAGTAAAGCATAAATTAGATGGAAAATTGTACGCTAACAATTAACAATTATTTCTACATCGAAATTGTATAAGACATTAATATATTTCGTTCAAAAATGCTTTTCGAACAAAAGGTCTAAGTCGAATCACTCGAAAAATATTTGATATAAAAAAATTTTGATTTCATATTCGTTTTTAGCGTTGAATTTTACATTTAAAAAATTACTAAAATCGTGAGCGATAATTCTTAATGCTGGCTTTTACCTAACCTAACCTAACTTATATTATGTTATATTTGGTTTGGTTTGGTTAGGTGGAGTTTTCATCGGAATATTTGTCGAAAAAAAATTTCAAAAAAAACTTGGGCGTTAATTGTTAATTATTAACAGTCAATTATCAGGGTAAATTTATAACATTGTTATTTATTTTTGTTGTTGTAAATAATTAATTATTGGTTATATTTTTTTAAAGAAAGCAGTGATGACTAAGGGTTCCATTTTTCGGGAATTCCCGAATAAAATAGTTAACAAAATCATCGGGAATTATATACCATTAGGTTTAGGGGTTATAATAGACTAAAAATATATAAGTTTTATTTTCCCGATTTTTCCCGATTTTGGCTTATTTTGTGAAAATTCCCGATTTTAGCATATTTTTGAGAAAATTCCCGAAAAGTTTATTTTTATTACAAATATTCCCGAAATTAAATATTTTTCGAAGAAAATTATTTATTTAATAACTATAATATTTCACCAAAACTCGTAATAAAATTCTAAACTAAATATGACTGAAATCAAAACATGTTTTGTAATCCACAAGAAGTCTTACAAAATATATATTGATTATCTCCTTTGAAGTCTAGCGTTCTTCTTTCAGTTTAAGATTATTCTTAGAGATAGTAGACTAAAAAAGCTCAAATTTTATGCTATTATCAATTATAATTCATTTGTAAATGATTTATATGTATAATGATTGTGTTATAATTGAGTAAAATCGTATTTCCCGAATTTTCCCGATTTTGGCCTTTTAATTTTTGTGGATTACAAAACATGTTTTGATTTCAGTCATATTTAGTTTAGAATTTTATTACGAGTTTTGGCCTTTTAATTCCCGAATTTGGATGTTTTTACTCCCGGAAAATGGAACCTTTAGTGATGACCACAAACAGCCAGTGCTAAATGAAGTGAAATGTTTGGCAAAAGTGCGCTCACAATATGTGGTTCAGTATCACAACTCATGGCTCGACGACAACAGCACTCAACTGTACATTCAGATGGAGTATTGCCCGCAAAGTCTGCGCACAATATTGGCCGACAAAGCGCTGGCATTTGACAAACAATCACTGGCGGAACCAATGAATGCGTTTGATGTGAGTGCCAAATACACTCACATTTAATGATAATTCAATTTTTT